GCTGGCTGGTAATGCAAAGAAGAGAGGAGCTAATATTACAGATATGACTTAGCAAGGATAAGGTTTCATATGACTCAGGATTTGGAATCATAGGTATATTACTTTTGTATCTGACTTTGGAGTTATGGGGTTTTGCACAACTGATACTTGGAGTATCATTGTTATAATAATATTATGATTGGTTATTTGTTTGGTAACATACAATTGTGAGTCATATGGTGTTATGACTTTTGCATATGACTTATGATAACCAAAACCAGAATACCAACCCTCTACAGCTGTGCTCCTACTAACCAAATACCTACCAGGCCCCTTATTTACGTACTTCAGGTGGGGGCCCTATATCGGCCTTTGTATGAATGGAAAATAGGGAGAGCTTAATAGGTGTTCCGCATTCCTAGTGGAAAATATTATCAGAGTGGGGTGGATCCTTGCTTAGCAGAAGAGCGCAGTTGCTTCTATGACTTTCATTGCATGCTAAAGTCTTGCATTTTGCCCATTTCTTTGTAAATGTAGAAATTCATTTGTTGCCTGATTGAAGTTCTACCGTCCGTCAGTGGAATACATCCTAGCATGAATGATGTCAAATTCTACCCCGCAGATTCTAAAGGTATAGGCACTAGCCCCTAGTTAGAAAGCATGACGAAAAAAGCTCTGGAATTTCCGGAAGTGTAGGGAATCTATGAGCAATATCCGGGTGCTCCTAGAAGATACCCATAACCCGAAGTTCCCTTCTAGTTACTTTGCAGGTCAGTTCGACGCTAGGAGAAGTAACTTTAGATAGAAGACGACGGTAGCTCTAAGCAATGAGAAATGGCCCGAGTGGCTCCTACAATGCGACTCGGGATAGGATAAGGCCGCAGCGAGGTTGTCGATGAAAGACTGGGCATTGCAGCTCTTTGCGGATCTCGTTTGCCAAGCGGCAATTACTTGTCGATGAGCCACGCCCCCCCCCCATGTGCAAACGTTGGAGTCAGGGTCTCCGGATATCGATACCGGTTATATTCCTTTGATAAAGGCTATTGTAGGATCCTGCATGAAGCTAGTTACTGTCAAGTGCGGGGAATCAACGGTCCGCCTAGTAAAGCTCGCTTTGCGGGACTATCCGGGCAGCCATGACAAAATTTCTTCGAAAGTGCCCATGCCACTGTTGCTGAAGCTGGCCTGAGCTACCGTATCTGGGCTTTCAATCCGCACCAAAGAGTCCTCTAGATCTTTACCCAGAATCACCAACGCTCCCGCTCCCTGCTTACTCCTCTTATAAGAGTTTAGACCATCTGTAAAAGACCCCGCGCTTGGGATTCTAGAGCAATACAGCGGAATAGCGGCCATGAACGTTCTCTTGCCGAATGGAGGGGCCCCCAGATCGTGAATATTGGCTATGAGGAGTTTAGTGCATCACACTGCGCCGCATGCTTTGGCATAGATAAACTTGTTGAGGATTTCTAAGAATAGGTGCTCCAAATTGAATCAAATGGGTCAATAGTTCCGCACACCTCTATATTTGGCGACTGCAGATGCACACAGAGAAGCCATAAAGATACTGCTGGGTCAAACGGAGATCAACGCTATCATAGCAGACCACCTCCGCCATCCACCGTTACACTACTCGAGTATACCTGGTAGGCCCTGCTGGAGCCGCCGATCAGCTCCGCTGAGCGCCACTCTTCTTGGCCTTAAAGTGTGGCCACGAGGGAGTGGTAAAGATCCTACAAGACGGAGCCAATGTCAACCTGACCTAGCAAATGAAATGAAAACAAAAAAAGCAGAAACACTCTCACAGGCTGCCGAGGACATGAAGGGATGGTAAAAATGTTGGTGGCCTAAGCTGATGTAAACCCCGACTCAGTTACGCTAGAAGGAACCGACATAAAAGGGCGGTAAAGATGGGCCCACCCCAAACCCACGTAAACACCAACTCAGTAGATGAAGATGGTTAAACACTACTCTTCCTCGCCCTCAAGTGCTGGTACGAGGCTGTGGGAAAGCCAAAGTTGGATCGAGCGGATGTCGGAACCGGCATAACGTATTAATTGGGCCCAACAACACTCACTCTCGGTACGAAGAACATGAATTAATGAGAAAGATAATAGGAGACTGAATTGATGCCTATTGTAACATAGCAAATCACTAAGGTAAACACCGCTCCCATTTGCCGCCAAGTGTGGACATGCAAGAGTGTTATAAATCCATCTAGGCTGGATAGGTGTGAGCCCCGGCTCAGGGGACGGGGGTGGACGAACACCACCCTTTCCAGCCGCCAAATATTGGCACGGAGATGTGGCAAAGATATCACTGGACTGAGCTGGGGGTAGCCCCAATTCAGCGTATCTGTGGGGCAACGCACCGTCACCTCGGCTGCCAGGTGTGGTTATGAATGAGCGGTAAAGATATTACTAAGGAATTAACCTCTATCCTATTGTCCTTGTAGATACACCTAAGAAGTGACGATATATTGTCAATGGAAGCAGCACCATGGATCCCATTCACCGTAGATTTTGGTGCTTCACCTACTAGCTTCATAGCCACCGTATACCAATTGTTTTCCATCTTATGTAAGGACCAGCCCGCAGGACATTTTGAAATCATAGGATGTCACTCGGCGAATATGGAGGGTGTTCAAGGCAAAGCATCTAAATTTAGATACCTAGCCTTGATAGCTATGATACTCAGCACTAGTGGTAGATCCCCAAATAGAAACCGAGAAGCAGTTCTTAGAGTACTCAGTTGGGTACCGGTATCATACCTGCCTATCGTTGGCTAAACCCCCCCGTTTTCAAGGGTGTATGTTCCGAAGCAGCCACGGCCAGAGAACTATGATACCATCACCCAGGATCACAGCAAGCAGAGGTGATATAGCTACACTACCAGTCTCCCATATCTGCCACACAATCCTACTACAATGCCCCAGGATTCCAGGGGCGTGGTTGGCCATTCCCCATTCCTTCTTCACCTCGATTGAGCCCGTAGTTCAGGATTCTCTAGAAGGCCCTAACTGAAGCCGGTGAGACCCACTTGAATTCCAATAACTGTCTTGCGATGTTGGATTGGTTTCATCTCCTTTCGGTTGCCGCCACCCGTGCTTGACCCTCCCTGAGAAGGTAGGGAGCGAGGCGATAGATCGCGATAGTCGAAGGCCATACCCACTGACCTATTCAATAACTTTCTCACTATTCCATATAACTTCCTGAATTTGGTCCCCTTCCGAGTCGGGGGGGACGAAATATTTCCCTTTCCTTTTCTCTTCCGCCGCCCACGGCGGATCTCACACTTAGACTCATGGCCCAGGGAGACTCAAAAGCCTCCCTATAATGGACCGATTTTGCCTCACCCGAATAAGCAAGGATCCCCACAGCCTCCTAGCCCTCATAGGGCAGGATTTATTCCTTGCTTATTCCCATCACACACCACGGGTAGCTCAAGAATAACCCGTTGCGAGGAGGAGGAAATGAAACTTCCACATGGGCTCCTGACGCTCCCTCCCAGGTATCTATGGCCTTAACCGTCCCAGACAGTAGGATATCACTCTTCATGGAAAATCCCTGTAAGGAGGGATGCTTATCTTGCTCGCAGGTAGAACTAACTTTTTTTCTCGCAAATGGTTAGTTATATTATTGAACATTGAGTGTGCTATCGGGGCAGTTACCTGAAAATAAGCGGGATTATAAACACTAATAGCCGATAGATAACGGCAGGATCTCTTCATGCGGGAAGGGATGATCACGGCAGCAGTATCAGAGACGTAAGAGGACCAGGTCTAGTCGTAAGCAAGACAGGATATGAAGGGGGGCACAGATTACAAATGTGCCATTGCTTAAGGCTGTCAGCCACCATACCAGTGCATTACCAACAGCAGAAGAATGCAACAAAGCACAAGGGGGGGTAGAAACAAGTTCTGCGACACTATCTCAAGTCAATTGGCGATTCCTCATAGGTTACTGCGATAACCCGCCCAACCAATCATTGCAAGAATCTGATATGTATGATACCACCCCTAAAGAACCCGATATTCTCGAAAACCAGTCACAATAGACCGCCGTAAATGCCAAATCCAGCGAACCCCCTAAATATTGCTTCTTCCTCCCAGGACACCCCCGGAGAAACTCGGATGCTTAGTAACCTACCCCCTCAACCTCAATAACTGGAGCGAAATATCGTCCCGATATTATGGTACTTCACTACCACTCTCTAGACCCCGATTCGCGTCTTTTTGGTCAGTTACCTTTGGGCCTCCCGGCCAAAGGTAACAGAGAAACGTGAGTGCAGCTCTCACTCGCACAAACACGTGTTGTAATATTCAACAATGAATGCATGATCTTGTTTCAAAGTCTATATTACTGCGTTCTCCAGTCTCCCTTTTATCCCCATAATACCATAATATCCCTGTCCTAATTTAAATGCTATCTAGAGCCCTGTCAAGGCTAGAAATGGTGATGATTTCCGTAGAAACGTGAATGATCTATATGAACGAGTTGTCTGTGTTTCAGCACTTCTTTCCACCCACCCCCCCCATGAAGAAATACTCTACTCGAGTGCAGTATTCATGAATCGTGATAATCCCTTTCAGGGCATTGCGTCAGACTCACGAGGAGGGGGGCATCACAGGTATCACGGCCCAGTTTGGGCTTGGTCAGATTGCGAGTGTTTGCATATGATTGGCGGTACATTTTCACGGACTTGTCGGGCGCGCAAGTAGTTGAGTGGTTAGAGCGGTGCACAGAGACTGCACTGTATTTAGTCAGGTTTTTTGCCTTACCCTGGATTGCCGATGCTTATTGGGATTTCTTCTATCTCCCGATACGGACGGAGTCCTTCTCCCAAGCTATCCAGCTTCTTCTACAAGCCACTGAACACCTATCCCTCTTCCCCCGGGTGTCACAAAATCATTTGGCAAACCCACTCTTTATGGACAACACCTAGCCTCTGACTGGGTGTTCTATTTCCCCTAGCCTAAGATACACAAAGACCAATCCAAAGCCCCCCGCAGGCCCTAAAGACAATCAAGTAAAGCGTCTATTCTCCAATTGAGGCTTATTACCCACAATCTTCTCAATCCTCTCCATAATCTCCGGAGTCAATTTTTCAGCATGCTTCACGGCCTCCACATTCTCGAGGACCTGTTCCGGCTTGCTGGCTCCTGTGATGACACTAGAAACTTTGGGATTTTTGATGACCCAGGCGATTGCGAGTTGGGAAAGGGTGATGCCAAGTTCTTTGGCGACCGTCTGTGATACCGCCGCACCGTTAGTAGTCTGCGATATGTAGTTTAAGCATTGGGTCAACGGAAATACCTCAAGGCTCTTGGTGGTGGTGATTTGCTTCCTCATCTCCTCGTCCGTGTGGAATTTCTCTCTCATAGCCTTAGTGAAAGAATCGGAAGAGCTAGAAAGACGGGAACCCTCGGGAATCTTGAAATCGTTGTACTTTCCGCTCAAAATGCCCATTCTCAGAGGAGAGAAAGTGGTCAGACCGAGGCCGTGCTTGGCATACAAGTTGTAGTATTCCTTCTCCACCTTGTCACGTACTAGGAGATTGTATTGAGGTTGCTCCATCTAAAGTTTCCAAATTGTCAGATTCCACTCGAAATCAATAAATAAAAAACCAAGAAATACCACAGGGCCAATCAATCCCAAACGGTCAGCAACTCCCCAGGCATCCGCAATCTCCTCAGCAGACCACTCGCTGGTTCCCCAATAAAAAGCTTTCCCTTGGTCAATGACATGGTTGAAGGCCCTAACAATCTCCTGCATAGGTGTCAAACGGTCAGGTCTATGGGCATAGACCAAATCGACGTAGTCCAATCCCAAACGTCTAAGAGAGTTGTTCAACCCTTCAACAATATGCTTTCTCGACAGACCAACGGAGTTCTCCGCATGTCCCTCCGAGGCGGATGCTCCCCCCCAATTGATCTTTGTGGAGATGACAAGCTCGTTTCTGGCCCAGCCGTATTTCCGAATGCACTCACCCATAACAACCTCGGATTGGCCACCGGCATAACTCTCAGCGGTATCGAAAAAGTTGACTCCGGCATCAAAAGCCGTTTTCATACAGTCGAAGGTTTTTTCTAGTATGCGTCAGCCGAAGACACTTAAACCAAGAGATAGAATCGCATTGCCGGATATGGCTTTGCTTGGTACAGCAGAACGTCGGCTACACCCGGTATCCCAGAAATAAGTAGCCTTCCGGTATTCCTGGGATGGTTTCAACAAAATCGGACGAAGAGAAGTTACAAACAGCACCCCGCCTTCTGTTGCTGCGTATCTTCTGGTCACCGGGTGTACCTGACGTTCCGCCATACACAGCAAACCGCCACACCAGGCAATGCGGTACCAAAGCAGCAATCAGGAACGAACGCTTTTCAACATGGCCACCATAGGTAAGCCATCCTCCCAAACTAACGACAGAAACTTTAAGCCCAGAACGACCAAGAAGGCGGTATTCCATGACGTTTGGTGAATCGAAGTGAAAGTTCAAATGTGCAAGAAACGGAGTGTCGCGGGGGAAGTTTGGAAGCACTGAAAGGGGTGATGGGAGAGGTGTCTGTGCCTCCAGAAGCGAATCTCCTCGGTTTATATGTAGCCAAAACCTAATACCGCATTTCCATGCCCCCCTCTATTAAGCCCGCTTAACCCCGCAGTGATGGCGGTCGGAAATGGATTGTTTGCCTCAAGCCAGTTGCCCCATACAGACTCGTAATACATCTAACCCCTGTCAGGAGCGCGGCACGACAACTCTACCGTAAAAACTAGAATAATCGAGCCGAGTGCTATGTAGTCGAGAATTCCCTCCTTCGGAAAAGAGGCCAAAAACACTGCAAAAAGTAACCCTTAGCCCCTCTGAGACACCAAAACACCACACCTTACCGGAGGGGGCAGCTCCAACGACATAGCACACGACTCGATTATTCCAGTTTTTACTGTAATCCATCGGTGGGCCATTCACCACCGCCATTCACCACCATCCATAACCCCACGGACAAGGCTTTACCAAGACACAACCGGTGATTAGTATCTACGATTCCGCTGCACCTGCCGGTAGTCTATTCGGTCAACTTGAGCATATACCGCATGAGCACATACGGTAGTTAGAAGTTTCTACCTTACCCGTTACCCTACCCCACTCGTCATCAGACTACAAAACACCCATCACCGCTTCACTTTTGATACCTTCATACTTCCTACTCTCTGGAAAGCCGCTATTCTTCCAGGCCAGCCTTGGAGACGGAGATACGGTCTCTATGCTCCGCTACGGTGTTCCACCCATTTTTGCTCCTTCCGTCTGATCCGCTGAAACTTTCAGGAAACTCGAGGAAAGGCAGGGCAAGCTTTCAGCCCTCACTGCCCGACCAGTTGTTCAAAAAGGAGAACTCTCAACAAGTCGAGAGCCTACAAATTATCCTGGCGGCGGCCGTAAGCACTGCATTCCAGATGACAATATCAACTTGATGATAAAGCAAGCATTACTAGACCAGGACTAGTAAAGAGAAAAGCGACCGAGGCCAAAAGGGTGTGCCTGCTACCAACGACATATCAGATATCATCCTCCAAGTGAGAATCTGGACACATTTGTATCACAAAGACCAAAAAGCGCGCATCTAACCCCAACGCTAGCAAGGCAAGTTCGGGTTAATCGCCGTCATGGAGATCTCTCTTACGGCCATTCTCCCCAAGTAACTCCCACGGCGCTTCCAATTATACACGACAGAGGAGCCTGGATCTACCCTTTATGGTCTCTGACCACGAGGACTAGTGCACCCACATTCAACCTCACAACCCAAAACTGGAGCCCAACACACACAGACAGGCAATACTATTAAGGGCGGGGAGTCACAAACCCTACTCCTGCGAGTGGAGGCCAGAGATTATCGTCACTTTTTTCCTATTTGTCACAAACCCTGCTTGGGAAGCCCCCAATGTAGTAACCCGGCCGTCAATTGAGAACGCCACCCTTACCTATCATGGAGGTACTGGCAGGGCGCACATCAGCAAAACCTGGCCCCCAAATTCCTGCATGCTATGATATGAAAATCAGGAAAAATTCCCTAACACGATGTAATCCTTATGGGGGCAGGTGACCATCAGGGGCTAGCAAGGGCAGGTATTACCCATCTACAGTAATACAGCAAGAGCGGGCATCATATACACCGTTTAACACAAGCTAGCCAATAGCTTAAATCACATAAACCCCGTTCGCTACGAGCTCGGCTTGCTCGAGGATTTTGAAAGTTTGCTCGAGGGAATATCATAGCTATATGATACAAATATGAGTGCTAATCCCACCCAGAGACACCAAAACGAGCATGCCGTATTAGGTCACTCTTAACCCGCGGGGAGCACGAGGGAGGATGTCACAGAGCTGACCTGAAAACCGATATGGTGGCAAGGGGCGAGGAAGCACGCAAGAGCCTAACACGATCCGGAGAGAAGAGGGAGGGCACGGACGAATGACTTGGCGAAGCAGCATCTCACTTCGCCAGAGACTGCCGTGCTGTGGGAGATGGATATCATGCAGCTTGCGGTCCGTGCAGAGGGGAGTGGCCGGCCAAAGAGGAAAGAGAAAATCCGATTAATCAGGACTCCCGCCTAACAATAATACAAAATATGATCAGAAACCTACCACTGGGTAGCCCAACAGAAGCGGGAATGATGTGAAAACCTGCACTTCAGCAACGCGTATAAACACCCAAATTCACCACTTGATCTTGACGCGAGTGATTATGCATGACATACCAAAGCCCAATCCCGACCGGCCCTGTTAGTCATACAACCCGAGTCGGGGAAAGTAAGATCCGGCCCGCGTGGAACCTCCTCTGGTTAAACACTAACCACCCAATATCCGGGGGGATCTTATATGGTTCCGGGAGACTATATCCTACACCAGCTTTCCGACAAAAAGAGTGACAATTTTGGGCGCAACGCTAAATATAACCCCTCTGAAAAAAATTGAAATACCATTCAAGTCAGAAAACCTAAACTGTAAATACTTAAACCAAACTGGCTACTTTAATATACTACGTATATTACCTGATTGTAAAAACAACAAACATCGATACTAAACACCTATTACGTCTAACTAACTCGCTTGTGCTATATTTCTACAGCTTAGGTTTTATGACCTAAATTAAGTGGCATCACAATTTTTTTTTCAGAAGTGTTACATTTAGCGTTGCACCCAAAATTGGCACTCTTTTTGTCGGAAAGCTGGTGCAGGACATAGTCTTCCAGAACCATAGCTAAAAGATACCTGTTTTCATCTGTTCCCGCTTTGCGGCAATAGCAATTGCGCTATGGTATCGAGTGATCCAGAGCCTCAAGACCAGGCTATCCAGTCTACATATTATGCGGAGGGCCTCCCACCCCACAATCCATTTCCCATCCATTTCCCATCGATAATGCAAACATCGGTCCGAGCCCATACCCCCTCTACGGTCCTGGGCTCTGGGTGCCCTAGCAGTGAAAGCCAAGCACAGAGTCCCCAACCCTTATCCATGATACCACGACAAGAAATCCACCTTAGTATGATAATATTATAATAATATTATGATATCCACAAACACAACATCAAGATCATCAGGGACGCCGGTGAGCCAGCCCGGGGGATATTAACAGGCTCCTATAAGTAAAATATATCACATCCACCCGAAACAATCCCCGGAAAAACATGAATATTAAAGGCACGAGAAAGAACCCACACTTACCGGAAAAAAAAAGGAAAAAAAACATAAGGCCAGAATAAGACTCAAGACTCACCCAATAAAAATAACCTTCACCCGACGCTAAAACCTGACACTGCCCTCGATGCGTCGTATGATTACTACCTTACCATCCGGAACAACCCATCATCACGACGACACACCCCCCTGCCAAAGGCGAAGCCTATGCTTACGCTCAAGCTTTCCCAAATGCGGCCGTAGACAGGAGAACAAGGACGGCGCAGAACCGCCGGCCGGTATCCCAAGAAAAAAAGCCGGTATCATGTGATATCACTCGCAATTTTGAGTTGGCTAGTCGGTGGCGGTTTCAGAACCGGAGACCACAATGTTACAGAGTCAATAATCGCATTTTTTTCATAAGGTCAGTAGAGCGACCTAAGTAGGGGAGAGGGGTAACAAACCAGGCGGCGCCTATACTCCACCCCCCTCCCCAGAAAACGTGTCCTTGAGGAAACCCAACCCGTTCCAGAAACAGCAACCAGGGCGGACGAGATGTTAACACCATAAAAACGAGATGGCCCCCCAGCGCCATCCCAATCCCATCCCCATTCTAACTCAACTCCAGCCCATGGAATCTTTTGGTCACGACCCATCACCCAACGATCCCACCTCACCCAGGACTATTCTTGCGAAATGCGATGCCCTCTGATTAACCGGCAAGAAAGGTGTTATCATACCGAGCGAGGCACGGATAAGGGCCGGCCGCAAAGAGAGCGATTCCCCGGGGCGCTCCCCACCGGTTGGGGGAAACAACAGAGCGCCCCGACGCACCGGGAAGGCCCGGAAGGCCGCGTAGTGTGGACTAATCGGGATTACGACCAAGTTTGCATCATACTCACCTCTTCGTGACAGAATACTAAACCCCGGTTCGCCCGAGGCCGGGTTTCGGAGGAAGTGACAGCCCCGGGGGTGTGTTTGGCCGGAGTAGGGTTGGGACGACGGGGGAGTGCTGGAGTGCTCTCATACTATGATATGATATCGTACCCGAATGGAGCGGAAGGGTTTGGTGGGCTGCGAAAGCCTAACTGACTATTCGCTATTCCTTCTTCTCCCGCGGGGCCGGTTTCGGCTTTACTTAGGAAGGGGGGGCGGTTGAGAGGGGGGCACATGGCACGGGTCGTGCCATGATATTGCTGGGTAGGCATGAGGGAGATGGATTTATTCAGCCATCTAGTACGGGGTGTGAATTGTGGGGAATGGGTTTATGGAATGAGTACAAGTATTGCATAGAAGATGTTACCTGCCCTCTAGGAAGGTCAGAGCGGGGTTCAACGCCACTCCAAAGATCTCACCATCCTGCTAGGCCACTGAACTTGGAACTTCACAAATGTACGGGGATGGCATCCTCCGAGATAAAGACACCATGGCTGGCACCCTACTGCTACCTACTGCCTAGGGCAAGCACCCCACTACTAATCTACTATGATATTTACCTTCTCCCATAGCCCTACGAGAATGCTCACGGCTGTAGGAGAAAAGCGATGAGAAATAAGGATTTTTCCTGTGGGGGATTTTCCCGATTTTAAAAATGCCGATTTAGTTTCGGTTCCATGAAGTATAAATTGTGCTCAATTATGACAGGATTGGATGCGGTTTTTGAAGTTAAATTGTTATTTCGGGGGGTGATGAGACCCCTTATGTTTCCGGTTCCCCTCCAGGCCATACCGGTACTTTATGGTGCTTGCCATGATTTTTCCCTTACAGTAGTTAGCTGTGATACAAATAAAGCCGCATATTTAAACAAAAAAAAAAAAAGCTGCCTGCTCGCGTGCTCAGACCTGAGGG